ACCACGTCTCTTATAAAACCTACTGTCAACCAACTAGCTCCAATCACCGCCGCGTCTATCCTGTTTCTATCCCTAATACCAAGTCTATGAGTTGCCATGCTCTAGTCTCTTGTGTGTTCTAACACAAATTTTGTGGTACTGCTTGCAGGAGAGGGCAAATAACGTCTCGAGTAGTACAGATCGAGTGGGAGGGTTCGAGTGAAATACGTGAACCAGGGAGAGAGAAGACGGATCTTACGGGAGAAGAGACTGTGATAAGATCTAGGGAAGGAGGACTGCGTAACAATATGGCAGACTGATCAACTTTCCCAGCACAAGGGTGAAGGGGGTGAGAACGACAACGTGGAGTGTGAAGGTTTTTCATGAATGCCGCTCAAAGGAGCACACCACACTACATCTAAATAGACACGGTAAAAAATATATTTATAAAAAATTGTGACGTGATAGGCGGATATAGGAAATGTGAATAGCCCAGGGCAGAAGTGGAGATACCACAATTGTTTAGCACACGTTTAGTCAAAGGATAGGCTTACTTGTCTCTTTGACGAATTGATGTATGGTGCTAACAATGGCGATGCTCACTGACGATGCCGGCGAAACGTCTGAGAATGTACCACGTCCACGGTCCGACTTTGGAAATGATGATACATATAATGAACTCCGGACTAGGTGCGTTCCTTTAAGTCTTCTTACCAATGTGACCATGTCGCGAAAACAAGGTCAAACAACATCTATACAACGAAAGGAGACTTCGACCACACAAAAGGCCACATCATCTTGGCCTTCGATTAAGAAAGTATTGTTTTTATCGCAAATGTGTTTTATTTCTGGTTAGGCATGCCGTATGACTCAGAGTCCTCTTGAAAATTATTTTGCATACATAAAATGTAAGTGGCTGTGCCTATTGCCATTTTAAGTGTTGGCCACTATTGATTTTCCATCATCTCAATGTTTAAAGTTTACAAAACCATCTTCTATATTACCACGTATAGTTTTTTCACTGTAATCTCTTTCAATAATGATTTCGTTACAATTTTAGTGCCATTCTTAACTAAGTGCTCATAGTGATACATATTCACTCCTACATTATATTGTTTTTATGACGAAATATATTTGCACAAGCTCATTATATTGTCTTGCCCTAATGTTATTTTTTAGATTATGTTCATTCTTGTTCACATGTCCGCCCACACTAAAACTGGAAGGGAGCTTTTGACATCTTTTCATCGATCTGACTTCGAGAGATATTGATAAGGAAGATGCACATTGTGATATGTTTTTCAGCATTCCTTCTTCATTGTTATGATTTCTACCATTTAGGTGATATATGAGAAGCTACTTAATTAAGTCGTTTCGTTTTAAGAAGCGTTTACTATAGACGTCCTTTCGACACGAATGGGCTTCTCTCATCGGCTCGATCCGTTCCTTTGAACATGATCCTTATTCCCTTAGCTCCCATCAGAGCAGCATCTGTAATACATATTTCAATAAAACTTTTTAGATTGTGGCTAAGTCTATGAAGTAGTCATATGGTCACCATTGTAAAGCCTTTTGTGGTCCCTTATTTTCAGCCTAAGAATATGTTCAGGCTTTCTTTTAAATTATAATGGTTTTATTAGAGATCCTTACGTAATAAAATAATTGGAGATATGAAGACCAAGATGGTGTGGCCTTGTTTGACCTTACTTTCACAGCTTGACCATATTGGTAGGAACACACCTAGTCCGGAGTCCATTGTATGCATGATAATTTCCAGAGTCGGATCGTTGACATGGTTTATTCCCAGACATTTCGCCGTCATCGCAGTCGGCATTGTCAGCCCATCTTGTCACTCTTGGGAGCGCACCTCAACTCGTCAAAGAGACAAATGAAGCCGATACTTTGACCAATTGTCTGCTAAACAATCGTGGTATTTCTTCTTCCCCCCTGGGCTAATCACCAATCCTATATCTTCGTATCACGCCTTCACTATCACAATTTTTACATGCTTATTTAAATGTGCTATGGTGTGCCCTTTTGTGCGGATCTCACCGAACCTCTCCAAGCTGACGTTCTCACCCTCTCCCACTCTTCACCCTTGTGCTAGGAATGTCGATCAGATTTTGCAATATTGTTCCGCAGCCCTCCTCTCATAGGTCTTATCAGCGTTTCCCTCCGTCTGCTATCTCCCTGATTAAATTATTTAACTCGACCTCTGCTACTCGAGACGTTATTTTCCACACTCTACATCTGCTAGACTAACTTGAGGCTAAAGTCTCTGAGTAAGCCTCATGGTCAAGCCTTTGCTACACGGACCACGTCTATGATAAAACAGGCCTACTGTCAGCCAACCAGCTCTAGTCTCCACCGCTTCTATCCTGTTTCTATCTATAATACCAAGTCTTTGACTTCCTATGCCCTAGTCTCTTGTGCGCCAACCTACAAATGTTGTGGTTCAACATTGAAGCTAATCAAAGCAAGCAGTACTACAGCATTTGCGAGTTCGCACACAAGAAACTATGGCAAAGGACATCATAGACTTGGTATTAGGCGCGGTGGCGACTAGAGCTTGTTGGCTGACGGTAGGCCTGTTTTACCATAGACAAGGTCCATGATGCAAAGGCTTGACCATGAGAGTTACTCAGGCGCTTTAGCCTCGAGTTACTCTTCCAGATGCAGAGTTTGGGAGATAATGTCTTGAGTAGCATAATGGGTTGGCAGGGATCGAGTGAAATACTTCAACCAGGGAGTTAGCAGATTTATCCTACGGGGAAAGAAAGAGACTCTGATAAGACATATGGGAGGAGGGCTACGGAAGAATATGGCAGACTGATCCACATTTCCAGCACAAGTGTGAAGGGTGGAAGAAGTCGCCCTCCACGCCAGCATGGAGTGTGGACAATTCTCATGAAAGCCGCTCAAAAGGGCATACCATAGGGCATTTAAATAAGCATGTAAAAATTGTGATAGTGAAGGCGTGATATGAGGACATAGGATTGGTAATTAGCCCAGGGGGAAGGAGAGATAGTACAATTTTTAGCAGACAATTGTTCAAAGGATCGGCTTCACTCGTATATTTGACGAGTTGCAGCTTGGTGGTAAGAATGGCAAGACTCACTGACAATGCCGGCGAAACCTCTGGGAATGTACCACGACAACTTGGAGAAAATTCGAAAGCATTAAATAAAGCTTATTTGTTTTATCTATGGCCCTTTTTAATATCACCACTCAATGGAAGGCTTGGGTCTTACTGGCGAGGAAGTGGTTGCTCACTTGCTTGACGAAATCTGAATGTTAGTCATGCTAATTACCCCCGGTAATAAAGGGCTTTACAGTTGGGTTTAGATGTTTTTGTATTTGGTTCACTGCAATTTGCCCTCTGTCCACGAGGTGCATCTAACTATGCCGAAAAAGCTAAGACCTGATATGATATAATTCATGCAGTCATGTTACCATTGTAATGCTATTGAAATGTGAAAATTATATAGTGAACACTACTTCTTTATTCGGCAGTTAGGCGCCCTCATTGTGTCTGATGTTTTTGCTCATTAAGATTATTTGCATCTCCTTTTCCTTGTCTATTGTAATACTATGTCAAAACCCTTTGCTAGCCGTTAGCTTGACGTATATTCATTGCTGTCTAAAGACTTTCCAAATCATGTTTTGTTTCGCGTTGCGAAGATTCCCTTATTGGCATAAGATACTGGCAAATTAATAATATTAATAATTGCCAATTTTACTCTAGATTTTGTTCGAAAATCCCCACTTTTTAGCTCATAATCATTCATTCGCTTCTTGCCCATATCTTTCTTATGGAGAGTAGTTTCAGAAGAAACGAATTCATCTATTTAATCTGAATAAATTAACATTTATTTTTACCAGCGGATTAGGTATACCACTCGGTTTGGTTGTGGACCCAAGGCGTGGACTCCTATTCTGGTCAGAGTGGTCTGGGGAAAAGAGGTCAGTTGGTGCTAAGGCCAATACTATTGCTAATGATGACAGTTTATCACCGCGCATCCTTTGCTCCGGCCTGGATGGCAGCGACCGGCGTGTATTAGTCGACAGCTCCACAAAACTTGTTTATTCCCCACATCCGCCGTCTCATGCATCAGCATCTCCTGCAGCTTCCTTGGCTCCCACTCCATTTTATACAGGGGGCAAGAAGTTCCGACGGATTTGGCGATCAAAGAGGTCAATGGAGAGGAAATTCCACTCGGATAGCAAAGCAGATGTCTTTGTCAGTGGCCAGCAAGTTAGAAATGAGCAACGTTCTATTAGGGCGAGCACGAATGCATTGAGGTTTCGCCGTTCTATAACTCCATTGGAGCAACACTTGGTAGCGCCCTCTGGCCTTGCCTTAGACTCAGTGGATGGGCGCCTCTTCTTCGCCGACTTCCAACTTGGGTTGATTGGCAGCTTGGATCCGATGGAGGTGAGTCCTGAAACAGGCTACTTGTGTTCTTCCACTTTTTTATGACGGTCTTTTGATTGGCTAGCTTAAAGAAACTTTAAAAAAGTATTAAAAATCTTTGGCTACTAAGGTCGAGTATATTCGCACTTATCCATTAATTCTAGCTATAAAAGTCTTTTAAATCCTCATACTAAATTATCCTATATTCATTGAAGCGAGTTTTCAAGGCCTTATTCCTTTCTTTATTGAATTACTTGGTATTTAATTAGAATTCACTACTGACCCAATTTATATGAGCTCCTTTATTCTATTATCAAACTACTTTTATAAAATATGCTTTTATAGAAATTGTTTCACCTTGTTTTCGCAACTTAGTCATTTTGGCAGGAAGACCTAGAAGAACGCATCTTGTCCGGAGTCTATATTATGCATGCTTATTTCCAGAGTCGGACCATGGACTCGGTACGTTCCCAGACGTTTCGCCGGCATCATCAGTAACCAAGTTGCGAAAACAAGGTCAAACAACTTCTATATAACGAAAGGAGATCGCAACCATACAAAAGGCCACACCATTCTGGTCTTCACATCTTCGAATATATATTTTTAGCCTCAGACAAATTTCTCCATAATCTATCTCATATTTTTTGATTTCTATATTTATCGTTTCATTATTATTCTCTCTTACTACGCACTAATAATAAATTAAATTGAGGAGATTTGTTTTTTGTCTTTAGTCGCCCATTACCGATTCACAAAGCACAGAATTGTGTGAATAGGTAGATGGGCCATATGTAGTGGCCTGAATAAAGAGTTGCAGCACTAGAAGGCAGAACAAAAAATAGGGGCACAGATTAATGCCACAACGGTTGAACAGTAGAGGATTGCCTTCACTTCTCTTTTAACTTGGACTTCTTTTGGGTTGCTTCATGAATATATTCATGCTCTTGCATTCGGACTTGTCTTTACTCGAAGGTAGGAAGACTAAGATGGAGAGGCTTCTACTATGGTCGCAGACATCATTCGTTTTATAAAAATGGTTTGACCTCGTTTTCACAACTTGGTCGCATTGTTAGACAGACCTAGATGAAATCACCCTGCCTGGAGTCCCCTAACATAGTTGTACTTTCCAGTGACGCATCGTGGACTTGTTACATCTCTAGACTTTTTGCCGACATGTTCAGTGGGCCTTGCCGTTGTTAGCACCATTTTACTACTCGTCTAAGGGACAATTAAAGTCTATGCTTTGACTAATTTTTGTTGACTAGTTGTCTCTGCATAATCCTTGATGTTCCTTCATTCGCAGCTTGATTTTTCTCACTTTCCCGTCAATATGCTTCTGCTCACAGTTGCCGCATTTTATGCAATAAATTCCCGGGCAATCCAGTTCTTCAATCTTTTCGTGTTGTGTCAGTAGACTGGCGAATAATGCTAATTTTCCCTCTGTCATTTGGATATTCCATTTTCATAGTGACATTTGAGATTTTCGGCTCAGTTCACATAGGGACAGGCATATCCACTTTTGGTCATCCTTCCGATTCCTGACTTTATTTTCATAGTATCCAAGCTGCCATCCGCTCTTTATGGCTGCTATATTTTTTCCTATGATTTCGATGAGGTAGTCGGTACTAGGGCGAATTCGAGACACTTTATTTAATTCTTCGTCCCAGAACTCCATATCCATTAGTTTTAAGCTTATGACGATCAAACTCCTCTTCAGTCTGTAATGATAAGACTAGAGATTGAGGATTATTTCCGCATGGTATTTCTTTCTGAATAGCTTCCTTTTGCGTATTTCGTTGAAATAGTTGATCTCGAAATCTAGGAAAGGTAGTCGCTTATCCTCCATCTCCATTGTGAATTTAGTTATTTATTTTTCCTATGTAAGTAGAGTTTCGAGACTACCTATAAATCATTAATATGAGATGTATTCACTCTATTTCGTTTAAGGTGATGAAGGACTGGTAGTGGAATTTTCCCACAATGATATGAGTAGAGCTGAGGTTTCCATTGAATTTCACATAGCCTTGCTTTCTCAAAAGTTGTTCTCATCCAAGATGGACTGCAGTTTCGACTTTGTATAGGTCTTATCAGCATCCCCAGCGGGAAGCACCGTGACGGTGCAGAATGTGAGCTTAAAGCATTAACCAATTAACCACATTGCCACGAGTGCCTTTGGGTCACAGAGCAGATGTGAATTTCGAGCAGGGCCAGGCCTTTTCCCATATCTACTTTAACTCACATTATCGCCCTCCGCGCCACATCCTTGTGCCATATGTCTGACACATCTCCGACTAGATGCTTAGTTAACTGACTTATGTATTCCATGCTGTCTTGGTTACTGCATGTGTTTTTGATAATTTTACTTTTACCTCTAATGCAGACACGGCCTCAGGTGCATGTCGTCTTGGCTAGCACTGCATTCCGGCCGTACTCACTAGCGGTATTCGAAGACCGGGTCTACTGGTCGGACTGGCGCAAGCGAGCGGTTCTTTCGGCAAACAAGTGGAATGGCAAGGACGCTGGTTCGGCAATCCATACCTGGCAAATTGTGCCAGGTTCTACTCCAAGCCTGCACTCTACTCTAGGCGGTGATGAAAAAAGGGAATCAGTTACCAGCCGGTTGCAGGCCTCCTTACCTAAGGCGTTGCGCATGCTTCATTCGCTAGCCCAGCCGCACGATGACCGTGCTAAACAATGGTGTCGACCTCCACAATCAGCGTCTCCACTACTTGCACCGCTCCTATCCACCACTGAGGAACAGTTGTGTAGTCATCTTTGCCTGCCTCGTGGCCTTCGCCCTGGCAGACCTGTAAGTGTAGGCGAGGAGTTCACTTGGGGCGTAGAGCTGACACCAAGACACTCTTGCGCCTGTCCTGATCTCCTGCATCTAGCGAAGGATGGACGAACTTGCCTCACTGCGGAAGGTATATACAATCAAACATTTAAGTGTGCATATTTTTAGCCGCCATACTGCACTTTGTAGATACATATCACACATTTTCCTTATTTATGCTGGCCCCATTTGATGTCCTGAAATTCACTTTATTTGCTTCGGCTCAGTTGTACAGACCTGGTTACTTGACATCAGAATGACTAATGAATGAGCTAATCTGTTAAAGCTCCGCTAGCTCATGACTGTCATATTTTAAATTATATTATAACGAAAGTTAGTTAATGGTAGCAAAGCCTTATTTAAATCTAGTTTCAAAATCTTGGATTTAAAATACCTGTAGGTTTTTGATATATTTTGATTAGCTGATGTCACATGCTTAGAATTACATTCTTACTCATTCCTACATTTCAGCTCGTTATCGAGGCTAGGGTATCCAAAAGGTGGCTTTCACTCACATTATCATGTTTCAGATCGATTGCAATCATTGTTTGTCTAATAAAAGTAAGCAAGCGTTCACAATTCTTTATTTCTTGTCTATGCAAATTTTAACAAATAGCATTTTTTTGGTCATAAAGTGCGTTCTTGAAAAGAACTTATTTCCGTTTAAAATAGGTATTCCGGCTGTCTCTGGCCCCTTCGATACTCCTGTTCATCTTCGACGTCAAATTATGCTGGTCACCGCCTGCCTTTTCGTTTCTCTTGTGCTTGGTGTTTGTCTATCCTTACTGCTTGCCCATCGTCATCGCATTCGTTGCAGCCGAGCCTGCATCTGCGGTGAGACAGCCGTCTGGCAGATGCGACATTGCGACTCTGTTTATCATTTGTCGGGCACTTCTTTATCACCTCAATCACCTCAGCAACCGCATCAACCGCGAAGCCAGGCTTCGCTTCATACATCGCATTCAGGTGGAGATGGCTTCCACAACCTCGATTATACTGCCTTTTGCCTGTTCCTTTCCAACTCTGCTAAATCCAACAAGCTTTCCTCGGCTTGTCCGTGCCGGCAACGCACTCCTATCCATGCTGACACTGCTTCGAGCACAGCATGGACGTCTTGTCTAACGTATCGCAAGGGTCGGAGAGTCCTACGCCAGTTTAGTCGTCTTGGCGCTGCTTCAGGTGATAAATCGAATCAATATACCGGTGAAAAAGGCGAGATGGAGGAGAAGAGAAGGGATAGTAGCGACTCTTTGAGTATTGCAGTTAGTGGAATCTGTTCTCCACCAAACGTATTACAAGAAGGTAAATTCTATGACAACCGTGACCTCCAGGCGGTAGGATTGCTAGCTTCGGAGTCTTATCAGGAGAATGGTCAAAAGATTGAGGCCCGTTTAGAAAGGTCAGACGAACCAGACGAGGGCTTTGTATCATCTTTTCAGCTGCATGAGCCTATCTTTACAGACAAATTGGTCTTCCCGCTTAGACAACTTGAGAGCGGAAATCGTCGCCATTCTTTAACCTCATTGGCTGAACAGATAGCGTGGGCGCCCGGGCTCGATTCTCGCTGTGTCGAGACTCGGCCTGACTTGATCTGTTCTACTGATCTATTGCGTCGCCATGTTCATGATCAACTTCAGCCGACTGGTAACCACAATTTTTGTCACCAAAGCTACGGGGCAAAAGCATCTGATTTGCTACCAGCGGCATCGCTGCCTTTGAATCTTTCAGCCCCATTGCCACTCTTGACTCAGCCACCTCCTGTGTCCCGACATTCTGAACAAGGTGGATTAACTTTTTCTGATCACTCGAGTCAGGTTGAAATCACTCGTGTTTGTCCTGTAAGGCAAGTGCTTTCTTGTCCTCCATCCCCGAGGGTCGCGTGCAAATATATGTGCTATCCGTCTCATTTAGGTGTGGCTATGAGCTCTATAACACCACTTCGTTCATTTTCTAACACCATCGAGAGACCTGCTAGAAGTGTTTTATTTGGTGGGCCTGTAGCAAGTCTAGGTATAGGCAGTGAGGTGGTTACGATCTCAAGCTCTCCGACTCCGACCATTCCAATTGCACCAACCTTTCGTTTAAATCGAACCATGGCCAAAGTAAGCATTAATTTGGATCTACATCCTGATCCTAGAAGCAAAACCTCTTCACTTGGATCTCTGACCAGCAAGGTGCGTGAATCACTTGGTGCCATGTGGCGACCCTTATTGAGGGTAGGTCAGTCAGCACCGCCTTCCTCTTTTCTCAGTACTGCTTTTTCTATCTGGAACTCGAATGCTACAAGCCATGCCAACAAATCCGAAGTTAACACGATTCTTCCCGTCTCAGTCCTACGGAATCAGAATTCCCCACCAGTCATGCTGTCGGACTCTTCTCCCAAAGTATCCTCTCTAATTGATTCTCAGCTTGCACAAACTAACCTTGAGCTAGGCTTCTCCTTCTCTAGCTTTGGCATTCCAAACATTTCACCTTGACTCAGGGATTCCATATTTGTGCTAGGGATATAGTGTAAATAATTTATCTGTCACAACTTAAGCTCAGCTTTGCCGCTGTTGTGTCTATTTACGGCAAGTAATTCCAACTTCTGTGGGCCGAGTGGTAGCATTGCTAATCTTTCATAGTTCAGCCTACTTCCTGCTGTGTGGTCTACTCACTCCATTCACTTTATTCTACTTGAATGCGACTTCTACCTTTCCCAGACATACTATATTGGCGTTTGCTTCTATACTTGCAAGAAATTTTGATGTTTGCTGGCTAGCCAGCCAAGTTCTTCGTCTCTTGCCGTCTAGTCTAATCCGAGTTGATACTCATATTTTCTCTACTATTGAATAAAATAGTTTAATGTGATCTTACTCTATTTTACTAAAGCCAACAGCATATCGCAAATAAGAATATTACATCGTGTCCTATTGGGTGCATTTCCAACGCACGCTGGTGTTTTACGCTTTTTACTATCGACCCGGTCTTATACATTTTTTAGTCATCCCTTTTTTGCTGACTCCCAGAGATCGGATATTCTATTTCATTAACTGGCCTCCCTAGGCAATCAAATTTCATTTTCTTGCTATTTCCCTTATTATTATACTACAGTCATGGTGCCTTTCATTAATTGCTATTACTTATCATAGATTCTTTTATTGCTACTGCTTTTGCTGCCCCCTTTGCTGATACAGATAGGACCCTTTTATTAGAAAGGATACTTAAAATATCTTCTTTATTGCCTTGTGCTCCTTACCGAAAGCAAGCGTGAATCAGTCGAATATGGAATCTCCTTTCGGCAGATATCTTGATTGCAGATTGCTTTTGATCTAAACTTTTTCGTCATTCTACCATGCCACACGACTGCTAGTCCTAGTGTCTAGCAGCCTATAAATAAATTCAATAATAACTGTCTTTCATTTCAAACAACTACACATTAAGACCAATATTATTGCCACATTTTGCTGCTCGTTCTCAATTCTGCAGGATTTTGCTTGCAATTGTAAAACGAATTTCATGGAGCTTATTTATGTATATAGACTATTGATATCTATATCTATTTGTCTAGCTGAAATTTGAATCTCTTGATAAAGCTTGCCTTTCTGCCTAATTCCCTTTATTCATGTGCGTTACACCAGGTATCGT